AAATAAGTAAAGAAGAAAACAAATCCATAAACGTATCAATAAAAATTTGATGTCACTTGGTAGGGCACTTGCCTTGCCTGCAACTGACCTGGGTTTGATCCTTGGCATCCTGCATGGTCTTCAGAGTGCTTCCAGTAGTAATTCTTAAGTGTAGAGCCAGAAGAAACCCCTGAGCATCACCTTGTGACCCCCAACAAAAATGATGTGATGCCTCTAAGGCTTTGTGGCACTAGAGTATACCAGGGCCATCTAGGCAGTGCTCAGTGACTGCCAGGCTACACTGGTGGTGTTCTGGGCCATTTGGTACAACAGTGGAGTAGGTCTCGCACATGCAAAGCATACTTGTGCTGTCTCTCCAGCCCTACTCTGTCTTTTCTTTTGTATCTGCCTTTGTCTCACTATTCCCATCATCAAAGAGCTACTCCTAGGTCTGGGGCTCAGAGGCTGCTTCTGTCAATGCTGGGCAGTGGAGAGGAACCATTGCAGTGCCGGTGATCAAACTTGGGTTGGCTGCATGCAAGTCAAGTGCCTTAACCCCTAGTCTATCTCTCTGGCCCTGTTTACCTAACTATTCTCTTCCTCTGAATATGTGTTTGTGGCCCTGACACATTGTTTCATGCAGGCACCCTGTGGCTATGAGGGAAGGCAGCTTGCAAATAAGCAAACAATGCATAGTAGGGCAAGAGATGTGAGTGAATTAAGTGAATTAATAGTTGTGTCTCCAGATCATTCTACCCTGAAGCTAGTTTCTGTCTCCTCTCTTTCTGTGTGATATGTATATAGTGTGTGTATGTGTGTATATATTTGTGTGTTGTGTGAGTGTGTGTGTGAGTGTGAGAGAGAGAGAGAGAGAGAGAGAGAGAGTGTGTGTGTGTGTGTGTGTGTGTGTGTGTGTGTGTGTGTGTGTGTTGGGATCACTCCTGTCTTGGCGAAGCTCAGGCAACCTCAGGTCAGCCATATGCAAAGCAAGAGCCTTAAGGGCTACACTATCTCTCTGGCCCAACATATGAATGAAATGAAAGTTATAGGATTTAACCATAGTGGGAAGTGGATTCTTAAACATTTCTTCCCCCCACCCCCAGCATATTTTTTGTTTGTTTTTGGGGCCACAACCAGCGGTGTTCAAGGGTTACTCCTGGCTCTGCTCTCTGTAATTACTCCTGGCAGTGCTTGAAGACCTTATCGGATGCCAGGAATCTGAGTTGAGCACATGCAAGGCAAGGTTCTTACCTGCTGTACTATCTTTCTGGCTCCTTCCCCCAGACTTTTCTTTTCCCCTTCCCCTTTATTGCTCCTTTGTTGTGATCATGGCTTAATTGTGGTGATTTCCAGTGTTTTCATATCTGATTATGCTCACATACTCAGATTCAGTGCTTACCAGGGGTTGCACTCATTTAGTTGCTTTCATGCATATTCTGGTCGTAGTACTCCCTGGTGGGGTAGCATTTATGTCACAGTGTTTGCATATCTTTAGTTGTGGTATGGGGCTGGAGTGATAGCTCAGCGGGTAGGGCATTTGCCTTGCATGTGGCTGACCCAGGTTCAGTTACCAGCATTCCATGTGGTCCCTCGGCACTCCCAGGGATAATTCCTGAGTGCAGAGCCAGGAGTAACCCCTGAGCATTGCCGGGTGTGACCCAAAAAGCAAAAATGAAAAAAAAAAAACAGATGTGGTAATCAAACACACTTTGCAGTGTTGTTGTAAGTGTAGCAGTCTTTCTTGTAGTGCTCACACGCACTTGATTAAAGGTGTACTTTGTGGCTCCGGGGATTTTGCCCGGGGGTTACTCCTGGCTCTGTACTAAGAAATTACTCCTGGCAGTGCTCAGGGGACCATATGGGATGCTGGAAATCGAACCTGGGTCAGTTCGGTAGGCACTCTACCCACTGTGCTATTGCTCCAGCCCCCTCCAGGGATTTAAAAGGCTGCCAGGATTGATCTCAGAACCTCATGCCTGCAAAACAGGTGCTCTACCACTGAGCCACACCCCTGGGTCCCTAAAACTTATTTTTTTTACATTCTAAAAAAATACTGTTTGGGAGCTGGAGAGCTTAAAGAGCTGAACACATAAATTATATGCAAAGAGGTCCGGATCCTATTCCCAGCACCACCCCAAGATGAACAAAACTGCCTTGATAACAATTTTAGTGTAAATTTTGAAAACTAAGAGGAGTTACAATCATCTTGAGTTTATTTTATTTGGGGGAAGTGGGTTTGTGGATACTACCTGTGGTACCCAGAGGCTATTGGCTCTGCTCAGTAGCAACTCTGACTGTGTTTGGGGACCACATAAGTGCTGGGGATGAAACAGGTATGCCGCATGCAAAGAAGTTCTTTACTTCCCTCCGCCCCGCCCCCATCTTGAGGTCTTTTAAGCTTTTAGGATCAAGTCATTGGGCCTAAGAGATAGTACCAGAGTTAAGGTGTTTCCTTGGACATAGCCAGCCCCAGCTCCATCCCTGGGAGCACGCATGGTCCCCAGCACTGGGCATGACCCAAAAACCCAAAATTATAAAATAACCAAGTTTTATCATTTTTGAGATTGGATGTTTTCTAACTTAATACAATTTAGGTTTTACTATTAATCTTTTAATTTGATTAAATGAAAATAAGTACTGTGAACATTTTGTAGCATATACCAAGTACCTGGTAGGTGCTCATTCTGTTCACCGTTTGTATCCATTCCACCCTCTTCCTGTTCTGCATCCTCTGTCTTGGTGCAGACCTAGATTTTGGTTTGGGGGAAACACTGAGTCCAGAATTGGCCAAGCATGGCCTAGAACTCTGTGACATATTACCAGAATGTGTTCTAGACAGTTTTACAATAGTTAACAGAAACTTAAAGAAGAGCATTTTTTTCTGCTATAATTGTTGAACACAATTAGTTAGTTCTTCTTGAAGTGCTTTTTTAATTTGTCTTGCTTTCCTAGTTTTTCCCTGGCTCTGACCATATTTTTGTTTTGTCTGACCAGCCAACCCTTCAATAGAGGTATTGCTGTTCTATCTGGGGCCCTTTTCTTACATGGTCCTTTTTTATGGTCAGTTTCACTCATTGCCATATATTATCCTTTTTTTTTTAAATTGAATCACCATGAGATATAGTTACAAACTTTCATGATTAAGTTTCAGTCATACAGTGATAGAGCACCCATCCCTCCACAAGTGCATGTTTTCCACCACCAATGTTCCCGGTATCCCTCCTACTACTTCCACTCCATCCCACTCTTTGCCTTTGTGGCAGGTACATTCTTTTTCTCTACTTTTGGGCATTATGGTTTGCAATACAGATATTAAGAACCATCATTTTTGGTCCTTAGTCTACTTTGAGCATGCATTTCCCATCCCGAGCGATCCCTCCAGCCATATATTATCTTATTTCCTGCCTTTACCTATTTATTTATCTCCAGGTTGGGCCTGTGCTCTGGGTCCAGTTTATGATCTGTCTTCTGTTCGTTGGGGTATCTCCACCTTGATTTTACTTTGGCACATCTAACCATTATCCATTAGGATATATTCATTCAGGTAACAGAAATCCAGCTCAAAGTAACTTAATCCTAAAGGGAAGTCACTGGTCTGTAAGACAGAGATTTAGAGACTAGTTTCAGGGATAGTAGGACGAGTAGGGTGCTTTGCCTTGCACGTGTTCAACCCAAGTTTAATTTCCAGTACCCCATATGGTCCCTCGAGCCCTGCCAGAGGTAACCCCCTGAGTACAGGAGGTGTGGCCCAAAAAAACATTTTATATATGTATGATAGACAAGCACCACCCTATCCAGCTCTGGATTTTAAAGTGTTGGAGAAATTCCATATTTAGATGTTGTCAGAAACTCAAAGCGAGGAGGGTAATGTTAGCTTGCTTTTAATAATTTTTCTGACTGAATAAAGAAACATTACCTCGTATTTTCCTAAGCACCTGAGTTCTTCATTAAGTGGAGTCAAATATCATAAAATATTGAATCTTAATCTGCATATAATTTAGAGCAAAAAACAAAGGAGTTCCCTTCTGATAATGCAGAATTCAAACAATGAAGACATATCTTAAGTTATCTTTTCTATATTTCTTTGTTCATAAGATAGGCAAATTAAAAATACAAGTTCAGTGATCTAAGGAACTTAACATTTTAGAGTTTTCCCAGAAGAAGAATTTGGTATGAGAATTAAAACCAGAGCATCTGGACCGGAAATAGGACTTAGTCTAATTCTTGCAAGCACAGCTTTGGTATGGCCCTGGGCTTCCTATCATAGCCAGGTATGGCCTTCACAACAGCAAAACAGGTGACTGAGTTTGTAGTCACTGAAGGTTCATTTTTTGAAGATGTAGTCTCTTTTTTGGGGATGTGGGGGGCTTTTTGGGTCTCACCCAGCAATGCTCAGGGGTTACTCCTGCTGGTACTTGGGGGACACCATATGGGATGCTGGGGATCAAACCCGGGTTGGCCGTGTGCAAAAAAAATATTGCCTACCCACTGTACTATCATTATGACCTGTAGTCTCTTTTTATTTTTGTTTTGGACTATACCTAGTAGTGACATTCAGGGGCTATTCCCAACTCAGTACTTGGGGTCACTCAGCAGTTCTCAGAGTTCTCACTTTTGGCAGTTTCATGTAGTGCTAGAAATTGAACCTAAATTGAAATTAAACATGGTCTTCTGCATGTAAAGCATGAACTCTCCTGTCCACTGAACTGTTTCCTAGGCTGACTGACCTGAGAGATGGAGGCTTTTAATGGACTCTCCAAGTGATTGTAGTGTTTTGTTTCAGGCATCTGTCTATACAGCAAAGATTTCCATGACTGAAAATATTTGATATTTGCCTCACTGGTTAGATTGAATGGTGAAATCTCCTTTAATATAGAGTTCTGGAAAGGTAATAGGTTAGTTATCTCAGAACTTCTGTATATAGGTCCATGGTTATAATATCTTTACCACCCCCACCCTCTTTCTCTTAAACAGGTGTAAGGGACTTGGTTCTGACATTACTTGTAATTTTCTCTCCATAGGATGGATAGAATGACAGAAGATGCTCTTCGCTTGAATCTCCTGAAGCGGAGCTTAGACCCGGCAGATGAGCGAGATGATGTTCTGGCCAAACGACTCAAAATGGAGGGACATGAAGCCATGGAACGTCTGAAAATGTTGGCACTGCTCAAACGAAAGGATTTAGCAAATCTTGAGGTGCCACATGAGTTAGCCACCAAACAGGATGGCAGTAGTGTCAAGGGCTACGAAGAGAAACTCAACGGGAACCTCAGGCCTCATGGAGACAGCAGGACTGCTGGAAGGCCAGGCAAAGAAAACATCAGTGATGAGCCAGTGGATATGAGTGCTCGGCGAAGGTATGGGAAAGTTCAGCTGCCTCCAAGGGTGGTGTCTCTGCCTAAACTAAACCTATGGAAATGGAATGAAGTCCAATGAAAGAGGAGTGTTTTTAGGTCTAAAGTTTCTCTGACTTGACCTTGAATTTCCTAATTAAATTTAGATCAGGGACCTCAAAATTTTGTTAAGATTTGCTAAGAGAATCATAAGTCTCACCTGTAAGATAAAGTCATTCTGGATAAGAGAGAGACTGTAGAGTTGATAAAATCCAGTTTTAAAAATGAATTTTTGCTGGAGTAATAGTATGGTGGGTAGGGCGCATTCATTGCTTGCAGTCAACCCAGGTTCGATCTTCAACATCCCATAAGTTCGGTCCCCTGGAACACTGCCTGGATCACTGAGTGCAGAACCAGAAGGAATCTCTTAAGTACTGCTGGATGTGACCCCAAAACAAAAACAAATGAAAATGAATTCTTGAACCTGAGTAATAGTACAGAAGGTAGAGTACTTGCCTTGCACATGACTGAGCCCCATGAGGAATGATCTCACCTGAATGAGCACAGAGGCAGGAGTAAGCCCCGAGCAACACTAGGTGTCACCCTGTCTCCCCAACTCCCCCTAAATTCTTAGACCAATTTTCTATTCATTTTTTTGGGGTAAGGGCCTGTTTGGGCCATTCCAAGCTTACTCCTGTCATTGTGCTCAGGAATTACTCTTGGCAGATTTGGGAGACCATATGGAGTGCCAGGGATAGGCAAGTTCCTTCCTTGCTGTACTATTTCTTTGTCCCTCTCTTGTCTTTATTTTTTTGTCATTTTATTACTTTTTTACAAAGTTGCTCATAATGATTTGTTACAGACATTCAGTATTCCAGCACCAGTCCTATCACCATTGTACCTTCCCACCTCCATTATTTCCAGTTTTCCCAACCACCCCCTATAACAGGCCCCCAATAATTTATTTTACACTGCTTGTTATAAATAATCTGCTAAAATAATAATTTAAAAAATGTTTCCTTAGAAGAAAGTTAGTGAAGACTATTGTTGTCTCACCATGGTGCCTACAACTTTTAAATAAAGGTTTTGGTTTTTTTTTAAGATTTGTTTTAAAAAGCTAATAACTTATTTTAATTTTCATTTATTTTTTCATTCTTTTACTTTTTTTATGGGGAGCATAAAAAATGGGGGCTGGAGCGATAGTACAGCAGTAGGACATTTGCCTTGCACGAGGCCGACCAGTCGACCCGGGTTCGATTCCTCAACCCCTCTTGGAGAGCCCAGCAAGATTCCGAGAGTATCTCACCTGCACGGCAAAGCCTGGCAAGCTACCTGTGATGTATTTGATATACCAAACACAGTAACAATAAGCTTCACAATGGTGACGTTACTAGGCTCGCTTGAGCAAATCTTGAATAACGGGAGGACAGTGACAGTGACAGTGATGGGGAGCATACCTGGAGCCTCTTGGGCTACTAACAGCAATGCTATGGTAACCATGCAGTACCAGGGATCCAATATGGGGCTCCTATCCACTGCGATTTCTTTCTAGTCATTTGCCATTTTACAAAAAGCAGACCCATGCTCTGTTTATTATGAAATGATGTCTTTTAGTTATACTTTTTTTTTGTTTATGTTTTGTTTTAGGGCCACACCCAGCTATACTTAGCCATTTCCCCTTGTCTGTACTCAGAAAGCCTGGCAGTGCTCAGGCGACCATATGGCCTGCTGGGGATCGAACCCTGGGTCAGCTGTTTGCAAGACAACTGCCCTACCTGCTGTGCTATTGCTCCAGCCCCCAATTGTTCTCTTTCTTGCATGCTCCTAAGTGCAAATTTTCACAGATTTTTTTCTCTGATATGCATTAAGGGTAAGCGCTTAAAATGAAAGAATACTCAGAGCACCTAGAAGTTGCTAAAGGTAGAAGCTACCTATACAGACTCAAAATATAGACAACTCTAGTTTTAAGATCAAATTCAGTTTATTTATGAAACAAATGTTAGATATGTGAATAACACTAACCTTGTTGACTTTGTCCTAAACTGATTCAAAGTAGGATCTCTAAGAAGCTAATTGAAGGAAAATGAAGAAGAAATGAAGGAATAGTTTTAACTTAACATTGTTTATTTCTCATCCATTTAACATTTACTTAGTGGTAACATTAAAGATAATTTTGTTAGATGATGTCCAATGGGGAGACGTTGTTCTTGGTAATAGCATTAAAAATACTTGCCCAGGGCAGGATAGATAGGTTAAAGGGCTGGAGCACATGCATTTCCAGTATGAGACCCCAGATTTAATCCCATCAGTACAAGCCCCCTGGAGAACCAGTAGGTTTGGTTCTGCTTGACTTGCAGCACTGCTGGGCCTTTAGCAGCATTGCATCACTGGGCCAAGCACCAAGCCATCTAGCCTAGTTGGCCTACTGTTGCCATGAATGGCCCCTTGTCCCCTTGATCATTGCTCGGGAACCCTACCCCTCCTCCCCCACTGATATTTTTTCCCTTAGTGGTTCTAGAAAAGGAGAGAAATCCTTGGAAGCTATAGTAATGTCAGCCTCATGCTTCATCACTCTTAACCAGTTCTGGAGCAAGTGACTAATTGTTTATTAGGAAGACTTAGAGGATTTATCACATGCTAGTAGATGTCAAGAGTGGTAAGATCCTATAAATACTATTGGAATTATACTATGTCACAGATACAGTGTGTTAAAAGAAGAAAGCCAAGGACCAGAGATTGCAGGGGTTTAGGCACCTTCCTTGCACTCAGCTGGTACTTCAATTAGCTTCTTAGAGATCCTGTTTGAATCAGTTTAGGACAAAGTCAACAAGGTTAGTGTTATTCACATATCTAACATTCGTTTCATAAATAAACTGAATTTGATCTTAAAACTAGAGTTGTCTATATTTTGAGTCTGTATAGGTAGCTTCTACCTTTAGCAACTTCTAGGTACCTCTGAGTACTCTTTCATTTTATCTGTTTATATCCCCACCACCATCAGAAGTGGTCCCTGAGCTCTGCCAAGTATAGCCCCAAAACAGAAAAGTTAAGTATGGCCAGGAATGTTGCTCAGTGGTAGAGCCTATGCCTTGATGTGTGAGACCCTGGGTTCTATCTTAACTGCCACACATGCAGAAGTCAGGCTACCCTGAAAACTCTTAACATTTTCTTTTGATTTAATTAAAAGGGTAAACTTTCAAAACACTATCCCCTGAAAGCTGGGCAGTTTCTAATAACCCCTCAGAAAAGTGACTTGATGTGAGCCATTCAGATCTCTGCTCTGTAGCGAGAGATAGGGCCTGTTGGCTCTTGGTCTTTCCTTTCAACAGACTTAGTAACAACTACTGCTATTGAGCTTTTTATAAGAATAAACTAAACCAAAACGTTGTTCAGCAAGTTTGATGTGAATAAAAGGAATAGAAAAATTTCAAGCGGAAAGAAGAACTCTTGACGTGAGAGCCATTGTTATGTTTGCTTACATAGTTTACTACTTGGGCCATGCTCAACCATGCCTGGGGAGGGGAGTGTGCATATATTGCGAAGGATCTGGGCATTTTTCAGTGAGCATGAGTGATGTCAGCAGTAAATCAGTTGCATTTGGGGGGAGAGGAGCAAGCAAGTGCTCTAACACTGAGCTACAATTCAATCCTGCTAGTCATACATTTAATATTACCCAGTTGGTTTCATACTTAAGAATATCAACTATTACAGGCGTAGTGCTTGCCTTCTGTGCAGCTAACCTGGGTTTAATCCCAGCTTATGGTGCCCCTAGCCTGCCAGGAATGATCCCTGAGTGCAGAAGCAGGAATAATCTTTGAACACAGCTTGGTGTGGCCTCCAAAATAAAACAAGAATATAAAATACTATAAATTATATTTATGTTTGGAAAAGAAGCAAAATAATTTCTTCCCTGGAAAGGTAAAACAAGATTCCAGATTTTAAAAAAAAAGAGGTGAATGAAAATTGATTTGGGTTTTTGGTCTCTGTTCTAATGTGACTCTGATTGTATCCTAGAATTTAAAAAAAAACCACTTGAGTAAATCAGAGATAATACAGGGGTTAGACATATGCTTTGCATAATAGTGGTTTGATACCAGGCATCATATATATTTCCTCTTCCCCAGCATTGCGAAGAGTGATCTCCGAGGAGAGCCAGGAGTAAGCCTTAGCATGGTTGGGTGTGACCACACACACCACACACACACCAGCCTGTCTCTGCCACATCCCCCCCCCCCAAAAAAAAAATTTAGAGTTGTTTTCATATACAGCTTCCTGTCATTCAGTTCAAGAATCTCTATCTAGGAATATCTGCCTTTCTTGGTGCTAAGCAATCCTGTTTCGGTATTGAACAATCCCAAAGTAATAGGTGGCACTTGAGCAAAAAAAATAATTTCTTAGAAATAGTCTGTAATTGGGACCGGAGTGATAGCTCAGTGGATAGAGCATTTGCCTTGCACGCAGTTGACCAGTGTTTGATCCCCAACATCTCATATGGTCCACCCATGCACCACTAAGAGTAACCCCTGAGCATTGGCGGTGTGACCACTCCCACAAAAAAAATTGTAATTTATGTATGTAACCAGAAATTAAACGGAAAAGGCTTCCATTGATGCAAATATTGGGAAATCAAGTAAAAAATCTGTCAGGTCTCAGTTACTCAATAACGTAATCAAAAGGGTCATAAGAGGGGGCTGGAGAGATAGGACAGCGGGTAGGGCGTTTGCCTTGCACACGGCCGACTTGGGTTCAATTCCCAGCGTCCCATATGGTCCCCTGAGCACCGCCAGGAGTAACTCTTGAGTGCAGAGCCAGGAGTAACCTCTGTGCATCGCCAGGTGTGACCTCCCCCCCCCCAAAAAAAAAAGCATCATAAGAACGGGAAAGTGAAGAACTATAGAAATGATAAGTTACGAAGCCAGAATGATAGTAGTGGGGAGGGCACTTGCCTTACATGCAGTTGACCCAAATTCAATCCTGTCATCCCATATGGTCCCTCAAGCACTATCAGTAGTAATTCCTGAGTGCAGATCCAGGAGTAACACCTGAGCATCACTGTGTGTGACCAAAAAAAAAAAAGTTGTTAAAAAAAAAAGAAATGATAAGTTATTTTTAATTATTTGGGCTGGAGAGAGGGTTTAGTGGATTAGACTGCACCCTTTGGGTTTGAGTTCCAGTACTATATATTTGGGGGTGTGTGTGTGAGTGTGTGTGTGTGTGTGTGTGTGTGTGTATCTTCAAATACTTAGGCACAGCATAGTGATAGATCTCTCTCTCTCTCTCTCTCTCTCTCTCTCTCTCTCTCTCTCTCTCTCTATCCAAGAACAGCACATATATCCAAATACTTAGGCCTGACTATTATTTAAGAAACTTTATTGCTGAGGTGTTAGAGAAGTTTCTTTCCTTCCTCTAGTGGTTTGCATCTTATAATTCCACATTAACATTTTGCTCTGTAACTAATGATTATAGAGTAATCCAGGTAAATTTAATAGTTTCCAAGGTAATCATTCTCATCACTCTTCCTGATTTTGTTTTCTTAGGTAAATTTGGGTAAAGGTAAAGGTAAAGGCCCTCCCATTGTTCGTCGATTTGCTCGAGCGGGCCCAGTAACGTCTCCATTGGAGACTTTGTTGTTACTGTATTTGGCATATCGAATACGTCGCAGGGAGCTTGCCAGGCTCTGCCGTGCGGGCGAGATACTCTCGGTAGCTTGCCAGGTTCTCCGAGAGGGGCGGAGGAATTGAACTCGGGTTGGCCATGTTGGCTGCATGCAAGGCAAACGCCCTACCGCTGTGCTATCGCTCCAACACAGTTTACCCTGTTGAGAAGTTGAATGTTCCAGTCACTTGGGGTTGCCGTTTTCAAAAGGCATACATAATCCAACAGCACTGAATCAAGAAGCCATAAGAAAAGTAGACTCTCAGCACCAGTTTTATGTTAAGGGTTTGAGTTACATGTTTTTAAAAAAAAAAAGTGAGAACACCTTGCCCAGCATTATACTCTTTATTTTATCCTGTTTTGTCTTGTTTTATGATTTTTTTGGGGGGGGAGGTGCCCACAGATGCTCAGGGCTTTCTCAGACCAGGGGATTCTGTGGGGTCCCAGGAATAGAACCCGTGTCACTTTTGTATAAGGCAAGCACCCAACTCACTGTACTCCATATACATTTCTAGGTAAAAGGTAAGGTAAAGGCCCTCCCGTTGATCGTTGATTTGCTCGAGCGGGCCCAGTAACGTCTCCATTGGAGACTTTGTTGTTACTGTGTCTGGCATATCGAACACTCTCGGTAGCTTGCCGGACTCTCCGAGAGGGGCGGAGGAATCGAACTCGGGTCGGCCATGTTGGCCGCTTGTAAGGCGAACGCCCTACCCGCTGTGCTATCGATTCGTTGATCTATTTCAGACCTAGAAGAACTATACTATCCTATCCACAGTGTTTCTTACCAAGTTCTTAGCAATGTCTACCACTTTTTCATCTTAGAAAAACAAGAATAATGTTTTAATGCTGGCCTCAGTAATGTCGAAACTAGAGTTGTCTAATAAACAGGCTTAGAGAAACCTGAGAGATAGTAAAGCAGGCTCTCGCCTTGCACATGGCCAACCCAGATTCGATACCCAGCACCACTTATGGTCCGCCGAGTCCCAAAAGGAGTGATCCCTGAGCAGAAGAGAGTCAGTTATAAGCCCTGAACACTACCGGGTATGGTCCCAGAACAGTAAAAAATAGGATGAGGAATAGGAGTTGCCACTGTGGAAGTTTATTATTTCAGAGTCATTTCTAGGTAATTTTTATCCTGTTAAGATATAAGTAGATAGAAGTTCTATCTAGAGTTGTTTTTTTTTTCTTTTTTAATTTTTATTAGTGAGACAGAGTTTCAGTTTTCCAGAAGGCTAGAGCTATTACACTTTGCCATAGTCCATTCCTTTATCCCACGGATAACAATACTTCTTTGACCTTGACCCCTGACAGGATATACCATCATTTGAGTTATTATAATATGCCTTTCTTAAAAATCCTCAGGCAACCAGAGATGTGTTAGCAACTTACCATCTGTGAATCTACTACCTTTGCCTTTCTTCTTCTATCTTTCTTTATAAACCTACACGTTACCTCTAAAAGAACCCAGGTCAGACATGTGCAAGGCATGTACCTTACCTATTGTACTCTCTAGCCACTTTTGCTCGTTTTATCATCACTAGCATTTTTTTTTAATCAAAATTTTTGTTTTGGCAGGCTTTTGCAGTTCCCAGACGTGGTTAGGAACCACCCCCAGCAGAGCTTATGGTGGGGCGATACATTGCCAGGGATTGAACTCAAGACCCAGCACAGAACTTAATATGTACTTTGCCACTTAAGCTATCTCTCTGACTGTGTTGTCTTTTCTTTCTCAAGATTTGAGTCTCTTTCTTTCCTTGGGTGAATTGGGACAGATCTAAGTTTCAGTGTTTTTTTTTTGTTGTTGTTGTTTGTTTATTTTAATGAAGGAATCGAATGTGACATGTTAATTTCAAGTGTATTATTTTGGGGTAGATGAGTGGGTGGGATCAGGACTTGAGACTCAGTGGCCTCAGCTGTGCTGGTTGGCCCTAGGGAGCTTCTCCCACTGCTTCCAAAGCTGCTCCTTGAATTTTTCCATCTTTCAGCACTGCTCTTCTGTCTCAGGAGACCACAGCTCCCTCTTGCACTGTATGACTTGTCCTCAAACCTTGCAGCCTGATTAGCAACCCAGATCATGGCCAGAACAGGGGACGGTGAGGTAGAGAACCATCAAAACACCTCCAGTTTCACCCCCATCTTGACCACTCCCAACCTGCCAAAGTTGCTCTGCCCTCATGGATTTGTTTATTGTAGACAGGTTTTCTTAACTTCCATGATTTATTTTTTTCTTCCAGTGAACCAGATCGAGGAAGGCTAACTCCTTCCCCAGACATCATTGTTCTGTCTGATAATGAAGCTTCCAGTCCCCGTTCCAGCTCCCGAATGGAAGAAAGACTCAAAGCAGCTAATCTAGAGATGTTTAAGGTAAAAAGAAGAAATAATTTTCTAATTTCTTGCTTTTCCTAAATTTCATAATTTCTTGCTTTTCTTAATGTCTTTAATGTTCTAACAGTCACAGTTATGTTTTTAATAGCTTGCCTTTTAGATCAAAATAACTACCCATAAATGAAAAAAGTTTTATGACCATGTTTGGTTTTTTTTCTTTCCAATTTTTATTGGGTCACCACCATTTACAGTACTGTTAATGATGGGTTTTGTGTACACAATATTCTAACATCCTAACCACCACCCAGAGTGTCCTCTTTTTTCCACCAATCTCCTGGACCTGTCCCCTCTATCCCTATACCTTCTTCTTGGTAAATTCAGTTCAGTAGGTCAATAATGAGTTTCTCTTGCCTTTGGCCATTTGTTATTTTGTTATTTTTTTTATAATCTATGGTTTGGGGGCCACACCCAGTTGTAAGGCACTTGCCTTGCATGCAGCGGCCCTGGGTTTGATCCCTGGCATCCCAGTAGTCTCCAAAGTCTTCCAGAAGTAATCCTTGAGTGCAGGGCCAGGAGTAACCCCTGAGTGCTGCCAGGTGTACACTCTTCCCCCCAAAATATATTTTTTAATAACCCCACATTATGAGAGAAATCATTCTGTATTTCTTTTTTTTTTAGGTGGGGGGGAGGCACTGGTGCTTAGGGGTTACACCTTGTTCTGCACTCAGGAATCACTCCTAGCAGGCTCAGGGGGCCATTTGGGATGCTGGGTTTTAATTCAGGTCATCAGCCTCTTGTACTTGTCCTCCTCCTGGCTTCACTTACCCATTCTACCCAGAGTACCCTCTAGCTTCATCCATGTAGCACCAAGTTATATGATCTTATCTTCTTTTTTGTTCTTTTTGTTATTTTATTTTGTTTTGGGGGGGTCACAAACAAATGCTCAGGGGTTACTCCTGGCTCTGTCCTTAGGTATTACTTCAGGCGGTATTTGAGGGCCATATGGGATGTGGGGGATCGAACCCAGGTTGACCACATGTGAGGCAAGTGCCTTACCTGCTGTACTATCTCTCCAGCCTATTTTTTCTTACAGTAGTATTGTGTGTATGTAACATAATTTAAGTTTTTTTGTTTTAGTTTGGTTTTTTGGAGGGGGACCAACCAGGCCATGTCCTGGGTTTAATCCTGACTCCGTGCTCATGGACCACTCCTGGCAGTATCTTATACCCTGTACTCTCTCTCTGACTCTGATAGATCACAATTTCTTCATTTATTCATATATTCTTGAATACCTGGAGTTAGTTCCAGAACTTGATTATAGTGAATAGTGCTGCAATGAATATAGGAGCACAGATGTCTTTTTTCAAATGTTTTTGGGCCTTTGGTAGATGTCACAAAATGAGATTGCTGGGTCAGTTGTTTTTTTTTTGTTTTTTTTTTTTTTTTGTAGGAGACTGGGTCAGTTCTTAATTTTTTAAGACTCCATCCTTTTTTTGTTTGTTGTCCTCACCCAGCAGTGCTCAGGGCTTGTTGCTGGCTCTGTACTTAATAGGTATCACTGCTGGCAGTTCTTGGCATCACGTGCGGTACTAGGCTTCCATGGCAAGTCAGCCACATACAGGGCAAGCATCTTACCTGCTATACTGTCTTACCAGCCACATAAGCAGATATTTAAGTATCTACTGAATACCAGACTGTGCAGACCTCAGGATAGAAAGATTAAAAACGCAGTTGCTTGGGCCAGAGAGATAGCTCAGCAAGTAGGGTTCTTGCCCTGCACACGGCTTGCCCTCACTCGAGCCCTAGAGCCCCATATGGTCCACTGAATGTAGCCAGGAGTGATTTCTGAGTACAGAGCCTGGAGCACGCATGCCCTTCACCCCACCCCCACCATAACCCTTTATGCTGGACCAGCAGCACAGTGGGTAGGACTTTTGCCTTGCACGTGGCTGACCCAGGTTCAATCCCCGACATCCCACATGGTTCCCTGAATACCGCCAGGAATGATTCCTGAATGCAGAACCAGGAGCAATCCCTGAGCATCACCAGGTGTGACCTAAAGAGGAAGGAAAAAAAAAACCTACATTGCTAAGTTTGCTTTGTGTGGAACCTGAAGGTTTCTGACCTAAAGAAATAACCTTGCAAGAAAGGGTCCTGGAAACCTGCACCCGTGATTGACAGTTTTCATCTTAACTTAGGGGAAAGGCATTGAGGAACGGCAACAGCTCATTAAGCAGCTGAGAGATGAGCTACGACTGGAAGAAGCCCGACTGGTGCTATTAAAGAAACTGAGACAGAGTCAGTTACAGAAAGAGAATGTGGTCCAGAAGGTAAGGTTCCCCAGAGGTCAAGAACTAGGAGAATGGGAAGAAAAATTGAAGATTGTGCTATCCCAAGTAGATGCAGCTCGTTGCTTATTCTTCTCTGGTTCCTTGGTTTTTAGTCTCCAGGAGTAATAATTTTTATTTTCTTAAATGGGGTCAGAGGGCCTCTCCTGGCTATGCTCACCCCCATAGTACAGGCCTTTCTGGTCTCAATGCTGGCACCTGATGATGCAGTGCTTTTTGCTTGAGTCCAGTGGTTCTCAGGGACCCATGTGGTTTCAGTGATGGAATCCAGATCCTTGCCCATGCTAGTTATGTCTTCTGCCACTTGGGCTGTTTCCCAATCCCTATGATTTTTGTTTATTTTAAATCTTAGATAATAACCAAGAAAGCATTTACCTTATAGTAGACAGGAACTTCACACTGGCAAGGAATTTTGAAGGTCTTGAAGTATACCTGCTTTCTTTTCTATTGTTGTTTGTATTGGCTGGAGTGATAGCACAGCGGGTAGGGCATCTGCCTTGCACGCAGCCAACATGGCCGACCCGAGTTCGATTCCTCCGCCCCTCTCGGAGAGCCGGGCAAGCTACCGAGAGTATTCAGTATGCCAGACACAGTAACAACAAAGTCTCCAATGGAGACGTTACTTGGCCCGCTCGAGCAAATCGATGATCAACGGGAGGGCCTTTACTTACTTACTTTTGGTTGGGGGTGGGGGGGATACCCGGCAGTACTCAGGGCTTACTCAGTCTCTATGCTCACACCGCTCTGGCCCTACACCAGATTTTTTAATATATTTTTAATAATACTGCAGTTGACCAAGTTGTTAATAATATGGTTGTTTCAGGCATTGAATGTTCCAACACCAATCCCACCACCAGTGTGTCCTTCCCTCCAACAGTGTTCCTAGTTTCCCAGCCACTATCCCAGCCTTAGTAGACACAAACAAATTTACTTCATACTTATACCGGATTTCTTTATTAGTGTTTGCCGTCTCAATTTCTGTTCTGTCTCCCAGACTCCAGTTGTACAGAATGCAGCATCTATTGTTCAACCCTCTCCTGCCCATGTGGGTCAGCAAGGCCTATCCAAGCTTCCCTCCCGGCCTGGAGCTCAAGGGGTCGAACCTCAGAATCTGAGAACATTACAGGTATGTGACCTGTAGTTGGACTCTTTCTGTTTTATTCTTCCTGTCTCTGTTCCAGGGCTTTCGTAAAGATTTAAAACACCTGGTGGTTGTAAACATGTTTACACTATAGATACTGTTCTTGGCCCTTCATAGCATGGTTGTCTACCATCAAAGCATGAGTAACTTTCCTCTTTCCACTGTACTTGCTCTTCAGAGTTTTTCCTCTTACCTCTTTTCCATATAGCATTAGCGAGCTTATACTAGAAAAGTTAGGAACTCTTAGCCACTAATTAGGTTTCACAGTGATGATAAATTGAGGTTGTAGATCATTCGACAAAATTGCCAAGTCTGACCTTGTTTCTATTTCTACTCAGCAATGTTTTCTCTTTAACTTTTTCTGGAGCATTTTACCACTTTTGATTAGTTCTCTTCCGTTCTCTAGGGTCACAGTGTCATTCGTTCAGCAACCAACACCACCCTTCCACATATGCTGATGTCTCAGCGTGTCATTGCACCAAACCCAGCCCAGTTACAGGGCCAGCGGGGCCCACCTAAGCCTGGCCTTGTGCGCACCACAACACCCAATATGAACCCAGCCATCAATTACCAGCCGGTAAGAGTATCCTGGTGTGGAGACAGAAATTCTTCACTTTCTTTTCCTATTGAAAGCATCACCGATTTGGGGACTGGAGAAAAGAAAGTTCTACGGGCTGGAGCACACGGTGGCATCCGCAGGGCCCAGAGTGCAGTCCCTGGCACTACACTCTACTGAGCACCAATCATATGTAGCTCTGCTCACCCTAGCACTACTGAATCACTTGATGCTCCCAAAAAGAGCAGAAAGAAAGGGACCGTAGGTTTTAAATTGTATGACATGGAGAAACTAGGACACCAAAGAAGTAATTTGGGTGGAGCTAGAAATGACTACAGCCCCACAAATAAAAACACTGAGGAATTTTTAAAAGATAGTTGCAGAGGGGCCAGAGTGATAGTACAACAGGTAGGGCATTTGCCTTGCACGCAAGTAACCTGGGTTAGATCCCTGGCATCATCCCATATGGTTCCCCGCGCATCTCCAAGCGCAATTTCTGAGTACTCCCCCCTGAGCATTGCTAGGTGTGATCCAGAAAGCCAAAAAAGGAAAGAAAATAGTCGTGGAGAGGGGAGATTATACAGTGAAGTAACAATAAATTAAATTTTAATAAAGTTAGTTTGCAGAGAAGAAAGGTGAGTCCATTCTGAAAAGATGTCAGATTTTTTAAAAGATCTGAGGAGTAAGCACAGGAGTGAAAGAAACAAAGCATTTCCGGTGTTCATTTTTCTCCTAGCAGTTTTAGCTGAGCACTACTATCAGTCTCTTTTAGGTTTTGGGTCTCAGTGATGCTTAAGTGTTCAAGGGACCGTATGGAATGCGGGGGATCTAAAGTGGGTTGGCCATGTGCAAGGGTAATGCCCTGCCTGCTGTGCTATCTCTCTGACCCCTATCAGTCTCCTTTCCTACGTGCCAGAGTTGTTTCTCAGTGAAAAGGTTGTAGACCTCTAAACCTATGGTGAGTGTTTTGGAAGCTAAGTAGTTTATAATAGAACAAGATTGTGTTCTCGGCCATGAAAAGAAAAATTGATCCTTTATTCCACATAACTATCATGTACTATCATAACTATCATGTACTATTTTCAATTTGTTTCAGCAATCAAGTTCTTCTGTTCCCTGTCAGCGCACAACATCCTCTGCCATCTATATGAACCTTGCCTCCCATATCCAACCAGGGACCGTGAACAGAGTGTCCTCACCACTTCCTAGCCCCAGTGCCATGACTGATGCTGCTAACTCACAGGCTGCAGCTAAATTGGCTCTTCGCAAACAGCTGGAAAAGACACTCCTGGAGATTCCTCCCCCTAAACCACCTGCTCCCTTGCTACACTTCCTGCCTAGTGCAGCCAATAGCGAGTTCATCTACATGGTAGGCTTGGAAGAAGTTGTACAGAGTGTCATCGACAGCCAAGGTAAAGCTCTTCTAGTCAACTTTTAATTTAAGAGCTTTCCAAGCCTGCTTAACATGGACATAATTTCACAGTGTACTGGGTAGTTTTGTTTTGTTTTGGAATTTTTGGACACCCGGTGGTGCTCGGGGCTTACTCCTGGTTCTGTGCTTAAGGATCACTCCTGGCAGGGTTCAGAGAAGAGGCCATATGTGGTGCAGGAATCAACCCAGGTCATCCACATACAAGGCAAGCCCCTTACACGTGGATGCGCTGTACTATCTTTCTATCCCCAGAACTGTGTAGTATTAAGGGGCACCTTCTTACTATTGTTGCTAGTTTAGCCCCTACTCTTTTTGTTTGGGACTGAATAAGGGATGGAAAATGGAAAGAGGCTTTTTTTTCTATTTGGCTTTTTGGAAGCTATATATCAGAAAATGTATTTGTATCTTTTTTGCTTTTTGGGTCACACCCAGCGATGCACAGGGGTTACTCCGGGCTCAAGTACTCAGGTGGTGTACTCAGGCGGTGCTCCAGGGACCATATGGGATGCTGGGAATTGAACCCGGTTCCGCTGCGTGCAAGGCAAACGCCCTACCCGCTGTGCTATCACTCCAGCCCCTGTTTTTGTATCTTAGACTTAATATTATTATAATGTATTTTATATATTGTGTATGCTTTCTGTAATGTATTGTTTTGTTCTTTTAAATGGTGTCACTTAACTTTGAAGTATGCTTAATTTGATGATAAGAATTCATAATTGGGGGACTGGAGCGATAGCACAGCGGGTAGGGCGTTTGCCTTGCACGCAGCCAACCCGGGTTCGATTCCCAGCATCCCATATGGTCCCCTGAGCACCACCAGGGGGTAACTCCTGCGTGCATGAGCCAGGAGTAACCCCTGTGCATCGCTGGTGTGACCCAAAAAGAAAAAAGAAAAAAAAGAAGAATTCATAATTGGGATGGGAGGGGGCTGCATTTATGCCAACCTGGCTGTGCTTGGGGGTTATTTCCAGCTCTGCACTCAGGACTTATTCCTGGCAATCTCGGGATCATCTGCGGTGCCACGGATCAAACCTGGGTCAGCCATGTGCACGGCAAGCACTTTAACCACTTTACTATTTCTCCAGCTCCAGACTATAAAACCTTAATTGCTACAGTCTCTACTAAGTAAGTAGAGAGGTCTTTCTGACTGAAATTCCAAACGTACTTTGAAGAAAACTTGACAAATGAGGAAGGTGCCTTAAGGACACAGTTTGGGCTCTAAGCCTCACAAAGTGAATAATTTTATTGATAACTAAAAATTATGAAGTAGTTGACAGGGATAAACGTAGTCTTAAGTAAAGAGATGCGAAAAACGTGGCTGAGTTAGTTGGAGTACTTTGACTTCAAATGAGCACATTCTTTTTTAAGGTAACATAATGGGAAATCAGAAATCGTGTGCTTGTCCCAGCTTTATCATTTAGGATTAGTTTCTTAGATTTAGTTTCCTCGTATGCAAATGGGATGATAAATGAGAAAAAAAGGTTAACTTTCCAAAGGCCCAGGGAAATAGCTGAAAGGGTGGGAGTGCAGATTCTGTATATGGAAGCCCCACGTTCCATCACTGGCTTGCCTGATTCTCTGAGCACTGTAGGTGTGGATCACTCCCTCCCACCATCAAAAAAAAAGAGGTTCTGTCTGGGAGTATATCTCGAGGATGCAAAAAAGCACAGTGGGAATGACATCTGTACCTGTATGTTCATTGCAGCACTGTTCACAATAGCTAAAATCTGGAAACAACCCCCAAGTGCCCTAGAACAGATGACTGGTTAAAGAAACTTTGATACATCTACTCAATGGAATACTATGCAGCTGTCAGGAGAGATAAAGTCATGAAATTTGCTTATAAATGGATAGACCTGGAGAGTATCATGCTGAGTGAAGTGAGTCAGAAAGAGAGGGACAGACATAGAAGGACTGCACTCATTTGTGGAGTATAAAGCAACATAACTTGAGGCTGACACCTAAGAGTAGATACATGGGTCAGGAAGATTGCTACATACCTGGAAGCCTGCCTAATGAGCGGAGGGGAGAAGGCAGCCGGAATAGAGAAGGGATCACTAGGAAAATAATGGCTTGAGGAATCGGTCGGGATGGGAGCTATGTGCTGAAAGTAGATAAAGGAACAAACATGATAACCTCTCAGTGTCTGTATTGCTAACCATAATGCCCAAAAGTAGAGAGAGAGGATGGGGAATATTGTCTGCCATGGAGGCAGGGTGGGGGGGTATACCGGGGACATTGGTGGTGGGGAATATGCATTGGTGGAGGGATGGGTGTTTGATCATTGTGTGATTGTAACCCAAACATGAAAATTTGTAACTATCTCACAGTGATTCAATAAAATTAGAAAAGAGAAGGGGGGAGAAAAAAAGAGGTTCTGAAAAGAAGCACAAAATAGGTAGGAAATGTGAAACCACTAATTTCTCTTTTTGTTGGTATCTAGGCAAAAGCTGTGCCTCACTCCTGCGGGTCGAACCCTTTGTTTGTGCCCAGTGCCGCACAGATTTCACCCCTCACTGGAAGCAGGAGAAGAGCGGTAAGATTCTTTGTGAGCAGTGCATGACCTCCAACCAGAAAAAGGCTCTAAAGGCTGAACACACCAACCGGCTGAAAAATGCTTTTGTGAAAGCCCTACAGCAGGAACAGGTAAGACTTCTTGACTTTTCCCCAGCCACCTGCTGAGGTTTGTTCTTCCCAGAAGTAGTTTCTTCTTGTTTAGAAGATTTTCCTTTGATTTCCCACCTTACTGGTGGTCTAGGTCTTTGGATCTAGGTTCTAAGAACATAGAGGTCTTAGGTTCCCCGTTTTTCCTTTTTACCATTCAGTCATTCCCATTTCCATTTGAATTTCCCACTGGGTGAGAGCATAATAACATTTGATAATTGACGTTAGGGACAGAAGACTTGAGACTGTTGGCTTTCTCTAATTTCACTAAAAAAATCTCTGTTCTGACTTCATTTTCTCTCAAATGGATTTTAGTGGTGGGATTTATATTTGTTGCAAAAATCTTATTGAGAGAAGTAGATAACTACAGTCCGTATTTGACCAAAAAAGACGAAGGACAGGGTAGCTTAAAAATATTCCACTACTCCTGAGCACTGAGCCCCATTGGGATCGCCCTGTGTGCCTGACATAGCAGTGCCCAAGTAGCCCCATATCTTAGGTCGTGAATCCAGTGCCCTTCGCTAAGTATTGCTGGGAGCCCCCCACATACACACACCCCAAATATATCCAGTAAAAATTAGTGGTGCTAGAATATGTGAACTAGTATTAGTGTTAATAGTTAAATAGTATTAGTAGTATGAGATCTTAGTGGGGTTAGGAAGATGTGTTAAGAAGCCCAACTTTTTTTTTTTTTTTTTTGCTTTTTGAGTCACACCTGGCGATGCACAGGGGTTACTCCTGGCTCATGCACTCAGGAATTACTCCTGGCAGTGCTCGGGGGACCATATGGGATGCTGGGAATCGAACCCGGGTCAGCCACGTGCAAGGCAAATGCCCTACCCGCTGTGCTATCGCTCCAACCCCAAGCCCAGCTTTTTTTCTCTCTCCTTTTTCCTCCCCTCTCCCCACCTCCCACCCATCAGGCATTTGGGTATCATCATGTACCTTCTGGATGATGGGGAAACAGGAGTCAAATAAGATCTTAGTACGTCCTCAGCCTTAATTAATAACATTAGTTGATTTATCATGACCACCAGATCTCTATAGCCAACTTCTGAGAACCAGTGTTCCTGGCAAGAGGTAGCCTTTCATCAGTGAAGCATGTTGACTACTTCTCTAAGTATTCAACCCACCAAATTATATTACCTTTTCCGTAGCTTTCCAGCAGACAGGCAACATTAGACATAAGACCTCTAGGTTTTCTGGTTAGGAATTTGGGAGACGCCCTCCCCAGATTGACCTGATGACTTCCCCACACATAGGAAATTGAACAGCGATTGCAGCAGCAGGCAGCCCTCTCTCCCACGACGGCTCCAGCCGTGTCCAGTGTCAGTAAACAAGAAACCATAATGAGACATCACACACTTCGGCAGGTGAGAATTGGTTGCGGGGAGGGGAGATTTGAGCCACTTCGAAGGGGCTACTACCAGCTCTATGCTCGGGCAACTGTGCAGTGCCAAGAATTGAACTGGGGTCAGCTGCATGCAAGGCAAGCACCTTAACCTCTGTGCTGTCTCTCTGGCCCATAGCAGGTGAGAATTGGTCATGAGGGTTTGCCAGCTCTTTATCCCAACTTGTCCTTTCTCTGCCGGAGATCATACTCCCTTTTCTACTCCCGTTTTCTTCCTCACACCTTCCAGTATGGCAGTGTTTCAAACAACTGTCTCCTTCCTGTTGCAGGCTCCACAGCCCCAAAGCAGCCTACAGCGTGGTATACCCACATCTGCCCGTTCCATGCTTTCCAACTTTGCACAGGCACCCCAGCTGTCTGTGCCAGGTGGCCTCCTTGGTATGCCAGGTAAGCAGGTTGATCTGAGAGCCGTTCTCAAGTCTCAGCTAGCTAGTATGCAGTTCTGTGGCAGCCCCCTGATGAATTTTTCTTCCTCTCGTTTTCCCATCTCCAGTTCTCTAGATCCAGCTACCTTCAGTTTTTTGTTACTAGGCAAGTGTTGGTGAGCTTTATGTCTTGTTCCAGTTTCAGTGAGCCAGGGTTTGGGTGATGGAAATGGCTTAACTCCTGCCATTATATTTCATATCTAATGAGCCCTTGGAGAGCATGTGGCTGCTGGTCTCTGGGCCAGAACAGCATGGTCAGCACTCCAGATCCAGTGTGAAAGATGGAGCCATAGTTTTCCAGTCAGTCCCCAAACCAGATCAGATCAGGCATTCCATCTCTGTCTTGATCATTGTCTTCTCATCACTGTTTCTCTGTTTCTCTTACACCATCAGGTTGTGTTCATTATTCTACTACCAAACTTTAGAGAAGAGGCAAACCTCTTCTCTGATAGTAGGGGATAGTTATCACTAAAACAGAGCTAGGTCTGGACAGTTACAGCAGCATTTGATATTTCTGTCTGCAACCATGCAGCCCAGTATAGAGCAAAATATGGTATTTCTTCTTTTGATATGTGCCCTCTACTTTTGTTTCCTGGTCTAGGCGTCAACATCGCGTACTTGAACACTGGCATCGGAGGACACAAAGCTCCCAGTTTGGCAGACCGGCAGCGGGAATACCTTTTAGACATGATCCCTCCCCGGTCTATATCGCAGTCCATCAGTGGACAGAAATAACGCCTGTTCCACTTGTACTGCCCCAACCTTGAATCCTTTACCCCTTTCCCATTGCCCCCAACTTCCGTCGCATGCAGTGCCTGTACTGGTGCCTACCATACACGGAAAACAAAACAGAAAACAGAAGACAAGAGTAGAGATCAACAAGCAAACACACGCCCTGCCCCACACCTCCCCTTGATCACATGCTGCCATCTGTTCTTCTGCCGCTCTGTCTTCTCTCTTCGGTTCTCTTTTAACAGTGAGGTGCGTCTCCACCTCTGATCGAGGTCAGAACGAGATCCTGGGGAGAAACCTCAGCCCTCTGATATGTGTTTCCGAAGTTTATTTTTATGCTATGATTATTATCATTTCTAATGATGTTGTGTGTCCTGCCTTTGTTCAATGAACGGTTAAACCTTTTTCATTCCCCCCCCCATTTTTTTTTTTCATTTTTTTCTTTTCCTTTTTAAAAAAATTTTTTTAAATACAAAATGTCATTCAGTTAAAAGATAGGAGCATTGCAGCAGGGTACCAGCTGCCAAGTAGGACATGACTGGGAATGTTAGGGGCAGAAGTTTTGAATGCACTTAACCCAAGGTAAGAGGCAGGTGGTGACCTAGAGCAAGGAAGAACAGTGCACCAGCTGTGGGTGTTTCTGGGGCATCAGGAGTCAGTGTTTAGTATTAAGTTTAGGTTCTAAGAGAAAAAACCCTGGAGGGAGAAGCTTTAAAGTGTAACTGCTCTGGAATTGACTTCTGGAGAGGGGGGGTGGTGATGACGAGCCACAGAGGACAGAGACCAGGCCCTGTTGTGTGCTGGGGGATGGGGACCACAATGGGTCACCCAGTCTGTTGCAGGCCAGCTAGCCCCAGGTTATTTCATCATACTTCCTTGTAGAAGTCTCCTTCCCCCCAGGTGTTTTTTAATTTTATTTTCTTCCTAATCTGTCTCCTTAATCAAGCCCCATCTGTAATACAGAGGCATAGCTGTTCTTAGCTAGAGTTTGCTGGGTTTCCTATAATTGAATTGGGCGTAGTGAGTAAAATGACAAGAGGGGGCAAAAAACAGACTTAGAGAACACAAGAAGGGGCTTTCCTACCAGCAGAAGAGACTCCCTTGTCTTTCCCGTCACCATCCTCATGCTGGGAGGTGGGGGTAAGGCACCTAAACAGGTCATAGTCCTGCCCTGCCCTGCCCCTACTACACTGAATGCAGAACCAGCTACTCAGAGCCCAACACCCAGGTCGGAACCATCTCTGGGCCTCTACTGTAAAGAGAGCTGTTGTCTTACCCCCCAGAAGTCTCCTAATTTGCTTTTTTGCTTGTTTTTATTTTGTCTTTCTTACGCGCTACTAATGTAGAGAATGAATTGTGCAATGTTGCTGTCTGGGGTTGGGAGATGAGTGTCCTGTTGCCCCACACCCTGGGGAGGGGAGGAGACCAGGCTGTGGCTGAGGGAAGGGAGCCCTTGAGTGCCGGGGTTGCTGCTCTCATGCATGTGTGCACCCACCTGCCTCCTCAGCTCCAGGTGCTGCCAGCATGTGGGCAGGGCCACTCTGGGCAGAGGGCTGAGGAGAAAGAGTTGAAATAATTTGCCTTTGAAAGCCACCTGGGAAACTTCTCCCTTTATTTTTAAAAATTAAATAAATTTTTAAGGTAAGGCACTTTGAAAATAACGAACACATAAACTGCACATCTTTTCCATAAAGTCTGGGGGTGGGCTGGGCGGAGGAGCTGGAAGCAGGCTCATCTCCCCCATTCTGGCCTCGACTCCCCATACTCCAGAGCTGCTGTGTGCGATGATACTGGCCCTACGGGCCTTCCTGGCTTTTTCTTCTCCCTCCCCCCACATTCATTGAGCACTTAATAAAGTAACAGATGCAGCCCATTTCTGGGCTCACCAGTGGCGGAATGATCTGGAAGCTAGATACTAGTAACAGGTAGTGATGGGGTCGTTTTTGAGTATTTTTCTGGAGAATGTGGTACCCCTGACTCTAAGTGACGGGAGAGGGAGGGGAGGCATTAATGGAACCGGGTCTGGGATTATTTTAAAACTATATATATATATATATATATAAAGATATATTCTTACATCTTCTTTTGCCCTTGTGCTTTGAAAGCACTGGATGAATCGTTTGGTTTTGCTTTTCTCTCTTCCACGAAATAGGAAGTGGTGTTTTTTTTTCTTTTAAAACTATTTTCCCTGCAAATCATCTTGCCTTGTGGCATGTCTGTCTAGCCCCTTCCTCCCCCAATGATGAAGTGCCGTTTCTGTTACGTCTCCCTCTCCCCCAGCTCCGAGGTGCTCAGAGGTACAAGGTGCCCTAGTCTGTCAGTTGAGATTAAAGTAGGAACAGAGAATGTGCAATACCGTCTGGCTGGGGCTGCCCCTGCCCTAGCGGAGTCCCCTCCCTGGAGCCCAGCCACCTTTAATGGGGTTTTGGAAGTAAGATGTAAGCGATGGGGAGTGACAGGAAGGGAACCCTAACAGTTGAGTGCCTGCTAAGTGATGGGGGTTGTGGGGAGTCTTCCCAGTTTCTCCCCTCAGGGTCATCATGTAGAAGCTCATTGCTGGCTTGTATAGGTCCATGACCCTTTGCTCAATCGTTGCAGTCTGATTTTTTTTTACCCTCTCCCTTCCCGTTTTCACACCCTTCCAGGGATAGTGATGGGGTAAGGTTTCAGTTTCACTAATCATGATCAAGTCTTAGCCTTCCACCTCCTTCCCTCCCCTCCTCTACTCACCCTTCTGTCTTCCTTGTTTTTCTGCTTTTTCATCACAAATTACCTTGTGTCCCTCCAAGTCTGTTTTTGCTGTCCACACCCCCAGGTCTTGGGCCCCATAGATGCTTACCTGGTGTCCTAATACAGGAGGAAAGAATCTCCATTGAGAGTTTCCCTTTAGACCCGGAACGCTGACGCTCAGGGTGACTAGAGTAAGGTCCTACCAGTTTTGCCTGGCTTCCCTCCTTGCCCAGCGGCCCGAAGAATAGTGGCAGTTCATGGACAGAGGCTTGTCCCCTCACAGCCTGAAACAGGTGGGGTAGTTATGGCTTGGGTGAAGCTAGGGATAGAGGTCCTCACTTGTCAGGGGTTTGATTTTATTTTATTTTTTTTTAATATTTTATTTTTTGTCATTTGACCACAGCATCTGGACTTTCTCCATCCCTGGAATAAGTATTTTTTCCACATTTTGGGTGTATGTATGGTAGACAATTTTTTTAAGACACAAAGATAAATGTTTTCCTGCTTTGGTTACCTTTCCTTTCCCTTTTAAAAGGAATTAGCTATAGAACTGCTTTGTAAAGATGCTTCTTGATATTTTACTTTCGTTCCTTTTCCCAAACAACTCCCTTTTTCTCCCCACTTCTCCAGAAGGCATAACCCCACCCCACTCCAGTCCTAGGCTCCCTTTCCCTCCAACAAGACCTTCATTAGCTTATGATATTTGCTGCCGAGATGTTATAACAAGGACTCATTCGTGTATATAAGCTATTTCTTGATCCATTTAAAAGGAATTGTACATTGTGTAGAAAAAAAAATGAAAAAGAGAAAAAAAAAAAGCCCTAGCCATGGATATTGTGAAACTGTGTTATGTCATTTTGTAATGTGCCCGTTTGTGTATGATCCGTGCAAAAGGGTTTCTGGGGACGGGGAGGGGGTAGGGAGGCAGGGCTGTGGAGGGTGGGGAGGAGAGTGGGCCGGGCCCAGCACACTGAGACTGGCAGCTGCTCCAACCCCATCCCTCCTTAGAGATGCCACCGCCCCCATCATCCACCCCTAATTTGTGCCTTGCCTCCCCACCCTGGAGTAGTCCCTCCGGGTCACCAGCACTGCCTTGGCAGAGCCCACCCCCTCCCCTAACCTGCCCACCCTCCCTACCCTCCCAGCATTAGGTTGATACTGTGGGGAAGTGCTGGGAGTTGGGAGGTAGCCGAGGAATGGGGCACTTCCTGGGGGCATTGAAACCAAGTATTATGAATTGTAATTGTATTTGCACTGTTTTTTTTCCCTCTGATTGCATCAGCATATATACAATATACCTATATAACAAAATTCAGTGTCAAGCTTTCTTATGCAAGGGATTTCCCCCACCCCCCAACAAAGAACCTAGTTTTCTAATCTTTGAGGGTGGATTGTTAGAGGACGATAGAAAGTGAGGATCTTCACAAGACCTTTGGGACAGGCTCGCCCAGGGAGAGCCCCATCCATCTGCACACTGTTAGAGCTTTGTAGAGTGAAGAGAAAGTAAAGGCCCCTCCTAGTCGGACCTGTGTTCCCGGGAAGGGAGAGCAGGCACCGAACACAGCAAGGATGGGGTCCGGTCCCATCCCAGGCTTTCCTAACAACTGGCTGTGACCTTCAGTAGTTCATTTTCTAGGTCTCAGTTTTTTTATTTGTCAAGTGATGGGGTGATTATCTGGCAAAGAATCGAAACTTTATAGTCCGTGCTTCCTCTCCTACCTGCAGAACAGAATAATCTGAGGTGAGGAAAGCATTGGGTTAGAAAACCAGGGAGGTAAACAGAGACTGATGGTTCCGTGTGTGACAGTGCCCTTGGACGGCTGCCAGCCCGCTGGTGATTTGGTTTGGGAAGGCAGCAGAGGGATGTCTAGGACATCAGTTTGACCTGTGACATCATTGCCCCCAGGCCTCTTGTCCTTCAAAGACGGGACCAGGCCTCAAACCCCACCTCACAAGCAACCAAGGACCCATCAGGGTAGCTGACCAATGAATGCCCCAGCTCAGTGGTACTAGTACTTAGACCTTTGGTGAGCTACAAGATGCAGAACTTCCCCCATCTTGATAACAAAGCAGGGGAGTTCAGTTATAATCTGCATCTTGTCTCCTTCCCTCAGATCTCATCTGAACCCCTAAAGGCAACTGTCTCACAGTCTGTCTGCTTCAGGGCCCCATTTCCCTGCTGCCTGGGCTGAGCACTCCCATGCTAGGTTCTTGGCTGGTAAAGCCTGGGGAGGACATTGGAGGAGGGGTGAGGCCCAGGTGCAGGTGGAAGGGTAAGTGGGGGTGGGGGGTGCAGGGCGGTGGGATGGGGAATGGCCTTCTCTGAAGGGGTGGGTGGGAGGGGAACAAGACCCTTTTGCACAACTCTCTTTTAAGTTTCCTTTTTTTTTTAAACTCATTCTAATTTTCTGCATTGTGTTTGGGAAATAAAATGAAAAAACTAAGACCAATAGAAACTGGTTTTCAAAAAGGCAAATACACTCCCATCTGTTTCAGATGCTGCTGAGCACTTCAGCAGTGACAGATTCAAATAATAAGCTAATTTTTGGAGAAAGGATTAAAAGAAAAAAAAACTTTGTAATATTTATCACTTGCAAGCTATGTTTAATAAAGAAAGGAATGGTTTCTAAGCTTCCCTGTGGCTGTGCTTTAGTCGTGGTGGTGGTTGGGAGGTGGCAGTTTGGTGGGAGAATTTTGACTTCACGGTCATGGGATGCTATCCATGCGAACC